TTTAGGCTAACATGCTCTTTTTTCATTATATAATCAATATATAGTGGTGGAAATCTCCCTAACTTATAGGTTTTTCAAAATGTGGTAATTCTTTTAATCTATTTACTTCGAGGGTTAATTAACAGTGCTCACGGTAATTATCATAAGTGAATAGATTTATAGTTAACTTTAAAATTTGCAGATTTCCCAGGAATTCGGGAGTGACTGCCTTAGAAGAGAGACTGGTTTTGGGAATGACAGGTCTGGAAGCGTATGAGGAACTTCTGAATCAAAATTTCATTTCCTTGTCCTTTCTTTCTATCCCCTCTTTCTTTCTTTTCTTTCTTCTTTTTTTCCACTGGTACTGGGAATTTAATCCAGAGGCACTTTACCTCTGAGCTTCATCCCCAATCCTTTTTTATTTTGAAGTAGGGTCTCACTAAGTTGCTGAGGCTCTCCTGGAACTTGCAATCCTCCTGCCTCAGCCCCCTGAGTCACTGGTCTTATAGGCTTGTGCTACCTCACCTGGCTTTTTTCTTTTTTATTTCTTGTATTCTACCTCACTTGCAAATCTTGGCTAAGTCTTGAAGGGGAATAAGTTGGGTCAAAGGTAAAGTTAGAGCAAATAAAACTGAGTTACCAGTTTTTAGATGAACACCCCTTGGATGATTAACATGTGGATGTGTGGAGCTGAGTAGGTCACAGCATTTAAGATAATAAAAAAGACGGACAAAAAATGAAGGCAGAGATGCCAAGCAGTATTCTGCTTTCAGTTAACCCATAAGACATCTGCAGGTCTAGGCAAAGTCATTGCTTTTAGCAAAAGCAGTGTCTCTGAGTCCATTATCCTAGGAGTATATCCTATATCAGATAGTTCATATCATGCAACATACAGACATAGGGTTGGAGAGATGCCTACATCTCAGCTCTAGCCTGACTGGAAGCACATGTCCCCAGATGTCAACAGTGGTTTGCTCTGGGTGAAGAGATCCTGGGTGGCATTGATTATCTTTGCACTGTTTGGAACCATCCATTTTTGTCCCTTTTTTTCCCTGTCAATACCCATAAGGGCAAGGACAGTATGTTCTACTCAGAACCTCATCCCTGCACAGGGCAGGAGTTCTATAAAGGTGAGGTTGGTTAGCAGATAGTCCTGTTGAAGACTATAAGGGGTTGGTTTAGCGATAACGGAGGCAATTTTCACGCCCCAGCGCCAGCTGCACTCGGCCTGGACCTGGTGCCAGCATTTCCGCCCCCGTCCAGTGCCCGGGAACTGACGCCTTGGGTGGGCTGGAGAGTCTGGCGCCGGCCAGGAGGCCTGGACTTTTGTGATCTGCTGGCCCAGCAGCCCGGGGCCGCCCCACCCGCTCCTGGCAGGGGAGGGACCGAGCCTTCTGGTCCAGGAACTCGCCCGGACCGCTCCCTCCTTCTCCCCTGCCTGGCGCCGCTTCCGCGCCTCCCTCCAGCCTCCGCGGTCAGCCTCTGCTCTGGCACCTCCGACGCTCCCCCAACTTCTGCCCAGCAAGCAAGACGGTGGCTCCGGAGTGTCCCAGCACTTGGGTAAGCTCCCCTCCACTCGCCAGCCCATCCCCCAGGCCCCCGGAAGGGCCACGTCCCTCCCTCCAGGCTCCTCCTCCCCGCAGGTCTCTCCGGACAGGTGAGCCTCTTTCCCGAACTGGCCTCCAGACGGCCAGGTGGTGCCGGATGACCTCTTGCTTGGGCACGCTGTGGCCTGAAGCATCCCGGGATGGGAAGCTGGGGTGGGCGGGCCTCTCGCTAGGACGCGGGAGGACTTCAGAGGCTGCCCGGGGAGAACTTGGGGACTTGAGATTCCGAATCCAGAGGGTGCAGCCAGTGCTGACTCACTTGGGGACGTGCTGGGCCCGGGAGGACAGCCCTCTTGCCGAACAGTTCCTGTGCAAGGAAGTCGGGTCCAGTAGGGTATTCCAGCTGGGAGACCCCAGAGGTAGGATGGAGTGCGGGGCTGGCGACACTCGCTCCTTCATCCTGGATCTGCCTTCATGACCTGCAGACCRTGCCGCTCTCCACCCGCACCTTGCTGGACCATTTAGCCTGCTCCTCACTGCTCTACTTGTCCTCGCTTCTTCTCCACAAAGGGCTGGGCATCCGAGGGGCATGGCTTTGAACCACCTCCACTTCCTCTTCCTCTGGTATCACTACCCCCTTCCTCCACCTCTTCCTTCTTCTTGGGCCCCTGCCCACCCCTTCATTCATCCCACAGCTTCCTGTGTTCTGCCATGCCCGAGGGGGCCCCTGAGAAGGAACTGGAGTCTTCAGCCTGGGGAACAGGAGGGGACTGAGGAAAACACGCTTGGCCTTCATTGGATCATGTGTTCATGCATGCATGTGCTTCCACTTGCTCACATAGCCCCTGTTCTTTCCCATTCACTCATTGGTTCATTCTGGGGACACTTATTGAACATCTACTATGTTTAAGGCTCTGAGTGAGCCAGAGGTGGTGGTGTGCATCCTGTAATCCCAACAGCTCAGTAGGCTGAGGCAGGAGGATTGTGAGTTCAAAGCCAGCCTTCGCAACTTAGCGTGGCCCTAAGCAACTCAGCAAGACTCTGTCTCTAAAATATGAATAATATGTGAAAATAAAATATAAATAAAATGTGAAAAAGAGCTGGGGAAGTGGCTCAATGGTTAAGTGTCCTTTTGGGTTCCATCCCCAATATCCCCCCCAAATAAGACTGAGTGTTCACAGGTGTGTGTGGGTGTGTGAGTATGTGGGTGGGTCAGGATACTCTGTGTTCCATCTCTGCTGCTAGCTTACTTAAGGTCAAAAAGGGGATATTAGCACAAATTCTCTGAATTTAAGAGAAGAAGCATTGTGAGATATAAAGGGCTGCAAAGTGTGTGTGTCCGTGCGTGCCACTTAGGATGGGAAAGGAAGGCTTCCTGGAGGTGGTGGCATTTCAGCTGTGCCCGAGTGGTAAGGTCTGGATGTAGACTCCTCATTACTCTTGGACCATGGGGTGGAGGTAACGGAAAGAAAAAAAGAAACCCTAAGTGTGTGAGGGAACCGGGGAAGCAAGCTCATGGCGTGAGAGGGAGGCCTCGCCTGGGACTGGACATGTGCTCCCTTGTCTCGGCTGGCTGTCTCAGGCCCAGGGGAGCAGCCTTGTTCTGAGTGGCTGTTAAACTCTCTAATTGTCTAGGCAGCGTGAGGGAGTTCACCCTTAATCCAGGGGGTATACATGTGGAGGCTGGAATCCTAGGGATGGGCATGGAGCTGTAGGATCTAGGCCACGGAGGATACTGAAAAGTGGAAGTTGGAGCGGATGATGCTGGAGGTCCTCCTGCCCAGGGAATCTTTAGTCCTATATGGAAGGCTTAAGGCTAAAGGCCCAACAGAAGGAATTTCTCGGGGTTTGGTTATTTATTCTCTCATTCATTTCCTCACTCACTCCTATACCTATTCATTCACTCAATTCATCCATCCATTCATCTATCACTTTGTAATATCAGGGTCTGTACTGGGGACTCAAATGACTCCGATGAGGTCCCTCTGCTTGTGAGTCAAATGGGAAAGACAGACCCAGGCCTGATAGTGACAACTCAGTGGCACTGTGATTTGTTACTGGGTGGGGAGAAAGGGTATGGACCTGCAAAATGAATGTAGACATTTGTGCTCCATCCAGGAAGGCCCAATTGTGAGGCCAGAGAAGAAGGATACAGTGTGGGAAAAGGGATGCTTGGAGGAGAAAATACTCTGGGCTCACAGAGCTTCCAGAACAGGCTTTCTGCAGACAAGGAATGTCCCAGAGGCTCACTGGAAGACTGGGCCTTTGGGCTGAGGACATCACAAGCTCTTTCCACATTAAAAACAAATCTGATGGGCTGGTGTTGTGGTTCAGTGGTAGCGCGCTCGCCTAGCAGGCATGAGGCCCTGGGTTCGATCCTCAGCACCACATAAAAACAAATAAAGGTATTGTGTCCAACTACAACTAAATAAATAAATAAAAAAACAACAATAACAACAACAACAACAAAAAACCCAAATCTGTTGCCGGGCATGGTGGTGCACACCTGTAATCCCAGCAACTTGGGAGGCTGAGGCAGGAGGATCCAGAGTTTAAAGCCAGCCTCAGCAGGGTGAGGCCCTAAGCAACTCAGTGAGACCCTGTCTTTAAATAAAAATTCAAAATAGGGCTGGGGATGTGGCTCAGTGGTCAAGTGCCCCTGCGTTCAATCCCCAGTATCCAACAAACCAAAACAAATATAAAAACAAACCTGTCATAATCCCGGTACCAAATAAACAAACAGAAACAAATCTGTCATGCCAGCAGCTCAGGAGGCTAAGGCAGGAGAATCACAAGTTCAAAGCCAGACTCAGCAACTCAGCGAAGCCAAAAGCAACTCAAGTGAGATCCTATCTCAAAATAAAATAAAACATAAAAAAGGGCTGGGTATATGGCTCAGTGGTTAAATTCCCCTGGATTCAATTCCGGGCACAAAATTAAATAAATAAATAAATAGATAAATAAATAATTAATTAAAAATCTGGGCTTCGTTCTCCCCAGTGATAACATGGAAGGACTAACTTAGGTCACTGATTCTCAAAGTGAGGTTCCTGGTGATAAGCTTCAGCATCACTGGGGGGCTTATTAGAAATGCAAGTTCTTGGGCCCTACTTTTTTGGCCCTGTTGAGCCAGAGACTCTGGATATGGGCCCAGCAATCTGTTTTAACAAGCCTTCCAGGTGGTCCTGACTCAGGCTGAAGTCGGGCTTCTCTGGACTATGTATGATTCATGCACATGTTTCATGCCTCCTGCATTTGGGGCCCTGATCTGGGTGCTGGTGGGCAGGGAGAACAGAGATGAGTAAGATGTGGTTTCAGCCCTCAGGGAGCTGCCGGGTGAGTTGGAAAGGGGATGCAGATACCCATGGGAATATTCTCTACAGGAATGGACGGTGCAGAGCTGCTGAGGCAATGAGACAGGAGCTAATCCTTTAATAAATAACATGGGGAAGAGGAGATCTTTGTGAGCTGGATGGGTCTCTGCAGAAAGATCTAGCTCTCCATTGCTTGTTTCTGGAAGTCCTCTTATAAGTCTAACCGAAGCCTTTTACCTTATGCCTTGTTGTGGGGTTGTGCAGACAGGGCTCTGGACTTGAGGTCAGGAGTGGTTAGGAGTGGTGATTCTAGACAATGTCCTCACTTTGGGTCGCTTCCTGTCCATCCTTGGGCCTCAATTTGTCCATTTCTAAGATAGGGTCGCTGGGCTAAAATCCAGTGAGGCTGAGACATGGTGTTCCTTTGGAGAGAGGGTGGCTGGGGGCCAGAAGCTCTCTGGGTTTCCATTCCTTCCTTTATATAGTTGAGGGCCCTGAAATTGCCCTGGCTGCCTGCCTATCAAGTTACCTCAGGGACCGAGTGAGATGAGCTGTCCCTCTTGGGGTTTGTTTCCTTCCCAGTCCAGGCAGGTTGTGTGAGACCTCTTCAACTCATACGGCCTTCATCATGCTGGGTGTGTTCATCATTCCCAGAGGCACCTGGCATCAGAGGCCCTGCAAGATGAGGCTCCTCAGAGCCCTGCATCTTCTTCTGTTCCTGTTAGGCCGTCCACCTCACTCCTCTTCTCAGTCTATCCCAGAGCCATTCAAACTTCAGGCCAGCTCTGGCACTGCCAGAAAGCAACCTGGATTTCCCCAGTTTTCAGTGCCAGTGCTATCTGTGGGCCATCTTGCTGTTTTTAAGGTCTTGCTGATTTTAATTTCTCATTTCTAGACACAGAAATGCTGACAAATACAAACTCTTTGAGGGCAAGGCCTGAGCTCACAGGGAAGGACATTATAGTCCTTGATTCCCAGAGCAGGGAAGCCTAGAGAGGAGGGGACTTGCCTGGAGTCACACAGCACATTAATGAAAGAACCAGACCCAGAATCCAGGTCTCATAAGCATGCCCAGAAGAGACAGTATTGAGCTTATAGTGAATGAATTAGAAGCATGAGGGACAGAGGAGAGGGCAGAGAGCTGGGAGCTGGCCTGATCGTTTTGCAGGTGCTTTGTAGTTATTGGCTGTACCACCTGGGGTACCTTCCTGGTGGGTGCCTGGCTCACAACAGGGGCCTAGTTGTTATGGGGTGCTTGTTATCTCCCCCATCCACTTGTCTACCGCAGCTCTCTTGCCTGGATCCCTTCCCCCACCCTTTTATCTTCTACCTTCCAGGTTCTTTTTTTTTTTTTTTTTTTTTTAAAGAGAGAGTGAGAGAGGAGAGAGAGAGAGAGAATTTTTTAATATTTATTTTTTAGTTCTCGGCTTACACAACATCTTTGTTGGTATGTGGTGCTGAGGATCGAACCCGGGCCGCACGCATGCTAGACGGGCGCGCTACCGCTTGAGCCACATCCCCAGCCCCTTCCAGGTTCTTTACTGTCCCAACTTCAACTTGAGTGTCAAGGTTTCCTGGTCAAGCTTCTTGCAGGAGTCAGGGGTAGAAGGGGAAAATCCTGGTGGTGACTACAGGGGGCTGAATCCTGCATGGCCATCAGGTGGAATTTGGCAGGTGCCACTTTTAGAAGAATCTCACTGCCCAAGTTAAAGAAGTGAGTGGTATGCCCTGCCTCTGGCCAGCAGCTGCTGGACTTGACAGCCTGGATGGGTGGAGCGGGCAAGCGGCTCTCTCCAGGGTGAAGAGTCCTAGCAGGTGGGTCGGCTGTCTCTGCAAGGTGGCTGGCAGCGCCCTGGCCTCCCGCTATGCTGCAGCCTGACCCCTTGTGGACGGATGGAAATCTGGACCTGGAGCTGAATCTCCGGCCCCTGGGGACCATTCTGGAGCCCAGGGTCCCCGTGGGGAGGATGACGGAGCCCGCATGGGGGCTGGAAATAGGGGTGATTGGAGTTTGGCTGGGGCTAGAAGCCGAGTGAGCTTCCGGCTGGGTGTCCAATAGGTGGGGACTGGCTCCCGAAGCGGCGGTGCCCAGTTGGCAGCCCCTGAGAACCCTTCTGGGCAGGGGTTCCGGGAGGAGGGGAGCAGGAGCGGCTGCGGAGAGGCCGGGACGCGGCGAGAAGTTCTGGCTGCGGAGGGCGGGAGCTCGGGAGGAGGAGCCCGAGGCCGCTGGCTGCATTTGGAGCCCCAGCCGGAGCCGGCTGTGGCTCAGGTGACCTGCGGCTGTCTCTGGGAGCGCGCTGCTCCCCACCGCCTGGTCCACACTGCTAGCGGCCGCAATGATCCAGAATGTCGGCAATCACCTGCGAAGGGTATGACCAGTGGGCTGGGGCGCGGGAAGCTGGGGACCCAGAAAGATTAACGTTTGCTTTTGAAGTCAGAAGTTCTTCTGCTTCTTCTTCTTCTTTTTTTTTTTACTTTCCACGGGCCATTTTCTAGCTCTCTTTGGAAAGAAATTGCAGAAGCCGGGGCTGTTTAATTATAAGCAGCAATTTCCAAACAAGCCCTAGGGACCACTAGATCCCCAAGGGCTGGCTGTTTGGAATCACTCGCAGCCAGTTCTTCTGGAATTCTTGTGGGATTGTGCATTTCTGCAGGCGCAGTTGTGTGTGTGTTTCTGCTGGCCATCTGAGCTGGCTCTGTGGTGTTCCAGCTCCCCGCTCAAAGCCCTTTGAGCAATGGAAGTTACAGGATGAAGGTGTGTACACCCTCCAATCACAGAGCGTGACCGGGTAAGGACGGGAGAGCAATCGCAGGACCATGTGAGGGAAAGGCCATGTGGAAAAGTGTTCTGTGAGGTGACCTTGAAGAGCACTTTCCCCTAGAACCTCCTAACAGGGACTTTGGAGCTGAAATTTCATGTTGAGGCCCCAGGCAGACTCAAGTGCCTCTCAGTGTCTGGCAGGGATCTTTGACCTGGTGCATGGAGAAGAGCTCAGGACAGACTGGCAGAGCTTTGCTGGGCGTATAGTGGCTGTCTATTGAGGACATTTTCAGAAAAAAAAAAAAAAACTTTTAAAAAGGGACCGGAGGGAATAAAGAAATATCTTATTTATCCCCCACCTCCACCTGCACAGCCACCTTTCAACTTGGCCTCCTGCCCCTCCCAGTGTACCTGTCTTCCCACAGCCAGCCCCCTTCACACTGCTTACCTGTTGCTGGGGATCTTGGTGACCTGGCTTGTGCATGCCTCCCTCTCATCCCCCATCCTGCCCCTCTGCATTCTGGGCATCAGCCCACTATCCTGCTTTCCATGGTCTCAGTGTCCCCGTGGTCTCTCTTTCAGGCTGGTGTCCATACTGTGCCTTCTCGCAGTCACCCCAGCCTTCCCGTGCCTCCCCTAAGCTGCCTCTGTGGCAAGTTCCTCCTGAGCCATCAGATTGAGCTCAGATGCTGCCTCCTCTGGAAAGCCCTCCCAGATTTCTCACATCACTGTGCACGGCTATGTGAGCTCCTTCTCATACTGGAATGTGTGCTTGACTCTCATGTCCACCTCTCCCACAAGCCAGTGAGCTCCAAGCAGCTGCTCCTGGTGGACCCAGCACAGAGCTGGGCCTGGCCGGAGTCCAGGGAATGATCAGTGAATGAATGAGAACAGGCGACTTCTCAGCCAGGGCAGGTGGGATCTGAACAGCAGGGCCCAGGGGGCAGAGAGAGGGTCTTCCAGGTAGGTGGGCTGCCTGTGTCTTCTCTTAGTCCCTGTCATATTTAACCCTTCAGGACTATTTTCCCATTAATCCTCATCTGTAACTGGGGACAAGCGGGTGGGTAAGAGTAGTGTCATTTTATAGTAGCAGATCCCCATAAGTGCTGCCTGTGCCAGGCACAAAGCCAAAGTCAGGCACATGTTAACTCAATCAGTTCTCTGAGGGAGGTACACTCACCACCCCCAAATTGCAGATAAGGAACCTGAGGCTCTGAGATGTGAAGTGATTTGTCCCAGATCACACTGGTAGGAAGTGGCAGAGCTGGAATTTGAATTCAGTGGTCCTGGCTCCACAGTTTGAGCTTTTAAGAAACCTGAGACAGAGTCGGGAATGGTGGTGCACTCTTGTAATCCCAGTTCAAAGCCAGCCTTAGCAACTTATGGAGGCTCTGAGCCACCTAGCAAGACCCTGTCTCAAAATGAAAAAATAAAGAAATAAAAAGGATTGAGGATGTATCTCAGTGGTTAAATGCCCCTGAGTCCAATGCCTGGTACAAAAAAAAAAAAAAAAAAAAAAAAAGAGAAACCTGAGACAGCCAGATGAAGGTCCAGAAATGACATTCAACCCACATGTCCTGAGCCCATCTGCCTTTTGGTTCCTCTGTACTACCTCCATTGATTCTTGGAATGGAGCAGGGTGTAGATGTGGAAATTGGGCTCATGAGAACACAAGGGACCTCACATCAGCTAAAAGCTGATGGCTCAAGAGGAACTTGCCACAGAGGCAGCTTAGGGGATGTGACCTTGATTGCTACCTTTGAACTTGTGCCTGGTTGGCAGAGATTCTTGGATTTCCCTTGCCTCTTCCCTTAGCTCTTCTTGAATTCGGGAGATTTGGGAGGGATGTTTTCTGGTTTGGTATCAAAGCTGTTTTTAATGAAAAGCAAGCAAACCCAAAACCCCACCAAAGTATTTTCACTAGGTACGAGGAAGCCAGATTAAACTGGGAACAGAAGTAGGGGGTTGTTTCACAAGTCCCACTTTGCATGGTTTGGGGACAATTTCCAGTACCCCAAGGCACTGCAGACAGAGTGAATGTTGAAGTCTGGTAATTCTGGCTCCTACTCACGACTGGGTACCGAGCAAATACTTGGTGTGTAAAGTGACTGAGTGACTGAAGCTGTGAGTGCCACTAAGCCTGGTGGCAGGCAGGGTGCTATGTGTGGATCCAGGGATGCTGGAAAGTTCTCCCTGTCCTGACTCATATATGTCTCTTCTTTCCCCATCCAAGATGTCAGTCTATACTGAGAACTGAGTCCTGCACTCCTGACGGTCAGTTCCCTGTACAACATTTTTACTCCAGAAATAGTGACAGGGATGTTTGTCCCAGTTCTCTCGTAAACATCTGTGGGCATCTGTGCTTGTGTTCATAGACTTATATGCTGGGCTATACCTCTAGCATGATTGTGCTACCTCACCATGAACTTGAGGGCAGCTGGAGGAACTTCTGTCCCAACTCGACCCACCCAGCCTTGTTAGGGGTCTGGTGGGGAGGTTTAGGACATGGCATTTGGATTAGAATCTTAGGTTCACTCCATATTCACTGTGTGACCTGGGCCAGGTGTTCCTCTGTCTGGGTCTCAGCATGTTGGGTGATCATAGAGGTCCCCTAACCCTGACATCCAGAAACCTGAACATTTGTGACAGATCTGTGTATCACCTTGAGGGTGGTCTTGAGAAAGGCAGGGGCTGGTCTCCCCGGAGGAGGAGGAGGAGTGGTGGAGAAGTAGACCTGTAGACATAGAATGATGTGCCTATCACATAGCAAGGGTTCAGAAATGACTGAATGAAGTCATGACCACGGAAGTGGGCTGAGGTGATCCCAGAGGAAGAGGTGAGACTTGAACAATCATCATCAACCTCTTCAGGAGCGGTGTGTGAAATCCAGTCTGGTCATGGGCAGATGCCCTTAGTGTTCTTAATCTGTCTGGAGGACTCTTCTTATCCTTCAAAGTCCAGCCATCGCTTCCCATTTGAATCCCATTCTACCTGGCCCCAGAGTAAATAAGTTTGCTCAGGATGTGCTACCCACTTCGCTTGTTCCCTCTACAGGTACTTAACTCCAGAGGATTAACATGCGGCGGGTGCTGACAGCTAATAGGGGACAGATGGTAAAATGGTAGTCAAATCAATAYCAAAGAAAATCTGTATTAAGTACTGTGACTAAAGAGTCATTGCCCTGTGCGAGCTATGCATCAAGCATGCAATAACTTATTTATTCCTTGTAACAACTCTGTGAAGTGGATAATGTTATTGTGTTCATATTAAAGGTGAAACTGAGACAGAGAGATTAAGCACTGTTTCTCATATCACACAGCTAGTAGGTGGCATTGCAGGGCTTACCAGGCTGTCTGGAGCACTGAGATCTGAGAGAAAAGAGACGGAGGTCAGGGGAGAGCTCTTTGAGCAGGTGACAGCTGAGCAGAGATCTAGTGGCTGAGCAAAGGCAGCTATGGGAAGACCTGGGGAGGAGCATTCCAGGCTGAGGGAGCAGTGTTCATTTGTAGGCTCTGAGGTGTGGGAGCTTGGTGTGTCTGACAGCTGAATGGAGCCCAGGTGGCTTGAAGTGGGGAGAACCAGGGGCAGAACAGCTGGAAGAGGCAGAGGTGAGGCTCTGAGATGCTGCAGCTGTGCATCTGGGCCTTGTAGGTGAGGGGGTTTGGTGTGCTGTGAGCTCCTAAAGACTCTCTGGTCCCCAGGCTTAGTACAAGATGCACAGCCCCTGCAAGCTGGACTCAGGGAACCAGGGGAACAATCCTCCTGACTCTGCTTCTCTGTGTGGCTAGCACTCTGATGGTCCCAACTGCCTTCCCAATGACTCCAACTCTTCATAGCAGGGAGGCAGGGATAGGATCAGCCCCCTGCACAGATGAGGCACAAAGAAGTGAGATGAGGTCCCTGGGTTCTTGAAGCTGGCCAGAAAGACTCAAGACCCACCTGCTAGCTTGGGACCCTTCTCCAGGTCTTGCTTTGGCGGGAAAGCATCTGGAACCTCTGTGCACCTAGTGGGTGGCCCCCATCACCCTTGGACCTACCCCATCCAGCCTCCTCTGCCCACGCTTGCACACTGAAAATGTGGGCTTGGAGTCCCAGGCTGTCTGAGCTGATCCTCCCATGCATATATCAGGGTCTAGGGAAGGTTGTACCACCACCCCGGCCTGTGCCTGGGCTGGTAGAGGGACTGTGCTGGCATCTTGGAACTTTTGGAGAGCTATTCACTGCTCTACCAGACAGCGAAAGGGTCCAGAGAGACTTGCCTACTTACTTTGCCTTTGTAGGCTCCAGTTTTTTGATCTATGAAGCAAACTTGCCAGGTTGTTGATAGAATTAGCCATTGGAGGACTGTAGAACTTGGCATGGGATTGGCCTTGGTTAGTACTCTTTCCTTTTTTTCCCCATCTCATCTGGACTTGAGTTTCCTCAATGGCCCAGTGGCAGGGCTGGCTGGTCTACTGAGATGGTAAGAGTTAATTTTTCTGTTGAGGACCTACTAAGTGTTAGGCATATTTAAATGTCTAACAGCTCYGCAAGGCTGCTGGCATTCAACTGGCTTTCTTTCCCCCTCTTTTGGTATTGGGGATTGAACTCAGGGGTGCTTTACTACTA